AGGGAATTAATGACTGAGGTGATGTTTGGTTAGTGAGTCTGGATTCTCTGGACAGGAGGCACCTTGAGAAGGTTGGCTTAATAGTTGTAAACTTGGGCATTCATGTAAATAGCAGGAGGTCTTACTGTGATGAGCTTGTTTTTGCATATACTACTTCCTTGAAGAAGGCAGTGGCTATAGAATACATTTTCATCACCTTAAACAGAAACTCTACTCTTTTGGCTCCTGGTAATCGCCAGTCTACTTTCTGTCTCTGAATTTGCCTGTTTTTAATTTTTCATATAAGTAGGATCATACATTTGTCCTTTTATGTCTGGCCTATTTCACTTAGCATAATGTTTTTAAGGTTCATCAATGTTGTAGCATGTGTCAGAACTTCATTTCTTTTTATGGCTAAATAATATTCCATTGTATTTATATGCCGTATTATCTATCTGTTCTTCTGTTACTGGGCACTTGTGCCCACTGTTTTGTGTTTTGGTGGTTTTTTTATTTGTTTACTTTTGTGAATAGTTCACTTGAACATTGATGTACAAGTATGTGAGTCCATTTTTAGTTCCTTTGGACATATACCTAGGAGTGGAATTACATGGCAATCTTATGTTTAACTTTTTTGAGGAACCACAAAACTTGACCACAGTGGCTGTACTATTTTTCATTCCCGTCAACAGTGTACAAGGCTTCCAGTTTCTCTATCCTCACCAATGCTTGTTACATGTTTGTTTGTTTGTTTGTTGTTTAAATTGTAGTTATCCAAATAGTTGTGGAATGGTATGTAATTATGATTTTCATTTATATTTCTAATGACTAATAATGTTGAGCACCTTTACCTGTATTTATTGGTCACTTATAAATTTTTGAAAAGAGCCTGTCTTTTGCGCATTTAAAAAAATTTTTTGGGGGGGTGTCTTTTTGTTGTTAAGTTGTAGAAGTTCCTTTTTATATTCTGGAGATTAAGCTCTTTTTAGAGAGGTGATTGATAAAAATTCTCTCTCATTCTCTAGATTGTCATTTTACTTGTTTGACAATGTCTTTTGATGTCCCAAAGTTTTAATTCTGATGAAGTCCAATTTATCTATTTTTAATTTTGTTATTCATGCTTTTGGTGTCACATCTAGGAATCCTTTGACAAATCCAAGATTATGGATATTTATTCCTATGTTTTCTACTAATAGTTGTGTGGTTTTACCTCTTACATTAGGGTTATTAATCCATTTTGTGTTAATTTTGTATATGGGGTGAAGTGGGGGGTCTGATTTCATTTTTTTTGCATGTGGAAATTCAGTTGTTGAAGAGACTATTTTTTCCCCATTTAATGGATTTGGCACCCTTTTTGAAAATCAGTTGGCCATAGATATATGGGTTTATTTCTGGACTCTCCTATTGCATCATTTGTCTATTGTTAGGCCAGTGCCACATTGTCTTGATTATTGTAGCTTTGTAGTAAATTTTGAAATCTTAAAATGTGAGTTCTCCAGTTTTGTTCTTTTTCAAGATTGTCTTGGTTATTAGGTCCCCTCATAATTCCATATGAATTTGAAGAGTGCCTTTTCCATTTCTGGAAAAAAGGTTGTTGGAATTTTTATAAGATTTATGTTGAATCTGTACATCATTTTGTGTAGTATTGTCATCTTCGTGGTCTTCCAATTCATGAACACAGGTTGTCTGTCCATTTACTTAGCTTTTTAATTTCTCCCAGCAGTGTTTTCTAGTTTTCATTGTACAAGTCTTTGATCTCCTTGGTGAAGTGGATTCCTCAATTTTTTATTCTCTTAGACATTACTGTAAATAGAATTGCTTTCTGAATTCCTTTTTGGATTGTTGACTGCTAGGTCTAGAAACAAAACTGGCTTTTTTGCACCCTGAATTTGCAACCTGCTGCTGAATTTGTTACTAGCTCTAGTAGCTTCCTTGTGGATTCTTTAAGATTAATATAGAGAATAGAAACAATTTTACTATCTCTGCAAATAAGTTAGATCAACTTCTTTCTTAGCAATTTGTATGCCTTTTATTGTCTTTTCAATTCTAGTATAATGTTGAACAGCAGTTCTAAAGCAGGCATCATTGTCTTGAAATTTTTTCACTTATAAGATAAAATTTGCCACCGAATGTTAAGTGAAAGGATCATGCAAAATTTAATAAATTTGCTGATCTTAATTAGTCTGTAGAGAACTTGATGTTTAAAAAAAAAATTTTTTTTTTTTTTCAGCACAGGATGGACCAGCCTTGAAAAGAAAATACTACAGACTGGCTAATGGGTGTGAAAATGATGTTTTATTTTTGTGACAAGCATCTGTGAGATCTATAATAGAAATGTAAGTATGGCATCATCATTTTTCCATCCTCTCTACATGTAAATTAAGTGTACTGGCATAAAATGCAATAAATCAAATATCTATCATTTCCAGTTAATATTATAGGAACATTTTGTATTTATTTTTTAGATGTTTTATTGGGTTAGCAATTTTATTTACATTAAATTATTGCTAATTTAAGTTTCCCAAAATCTCACAGAGAAAAGTCTTCCTAAAAAAGTGAAACTGAAGACAGAATTTGCTCCTAGAAGGCTAAAAATACAGTTTCTTCTAGATTCTACTTTCTCTTTACGTATCAATTTATTTATTTAAATAATCAAGTTAGGTAGACAGTATCAGCTTTTATAATTACGAGGGACTTACTGGGTTATAAAACACTAGTTACTAAAAACTTGTTTCACTGAACTGAATTTTTTTTTTTAATATATTTTATTGATTTTTTTTTACAGAGAGGAAGGGGGAGAGAGAGAGTGAGCCAGAAACGTCAATGAGAGAGAAACATTGACCAGCTGTCTCCTGCACACCCCCCACCAGGGATGTGCCCACAACCAACGTACATGCCCCTGACCGAAATCGAACACGGGACCCTTCAGTCCACAGACCGACGCTCTACCACTGAGCCAAACCGGTTTCAGCTGAACTGAATTTTTAACTAATTTAAAAAATTATTGTCCATTATTGCATCTTAATTCAGAGAGAATTCACTGTAACGTCCAGTTTTAGTTCTTTTCTATCATTTAGTCTTCCAGTATGATGCCTTGATTATGTACACTCATTAAAAGTGTGACCATGTGATTCTTAGTGTTGAAAATTTCATAAAAAGTGAAACCAGCCCTAGCTGGGTTGGCTCAATGGATAGAGGCATCGGCCTGCGGACTGAAGGGTTTGGGGTTCGATTCCAGTCAAGGACATATGCCCAGGTTGTGGCTTGATCCCCAGTTGGGGGCATGCAGGAGGCAGCCGATTAGTGATTCTCTGTCATCACTGATGTTTCTCTCTCTCCCACTCCATTCCTCTCTAAAAATCAATAAAAATAAAAATGTGTGTGTGTGTATGTATGAATTCATATATATGTGTGTGTGTGTGAATATATATATATATATATATATATATATATATATATATATATATTTGAAACCAGTAAGCATTTTCTTCACAATTAGGGTAAATATATATTTTGTTTAATTCTATTCATATGTTATCTGCCTATATTTTTTTAATCCTATAGCTCAGATAATCTAGGTGCCAGCTGTCAAGGAATTAGACTATGTCCAGGTTACTGAATTACTTTCAGCCATTTTCTGTTTCTCTACTTCAGATTGGCCAGTGTAGCTAGAGGCTGACCCAGGGGAAGTTACATGTAAGATGAGGTGGGGGCCAGACCATACAGGGCATATGAGCAAAGATCCTGCTCTTTATCGTAAAATCAACAAGGGATATGTTTGAACAAATTAAAAGGCATACACAATAATTACACAGTGTACTTGGTGGCTAGGGAAGTGTAGAGATGGACAGTAGATGATTCAGGAAATATTTAGGAGATGAAATTGATAAGACTTGCTGATGTTTTGGGTGGGAGAAGAGCAGTTTCAGTTATGGATTTCTAGCTTGAAAAAGCAGATGGTTAGGGGTGTCACGGGCTAGGGGGGAGGGGCTTTTAAGAAGTAAATAAGAAGGAAACAGATCTTGAGTTTTGTTTTTGTGCCTTCAAGGCATCCTGGAAGAGATCTAAAATAGGTGATCTGGGCTAGGACTGAAAAGAGAGATCTGGGCTGGTGATGTCAGTTGTGAATCATTTGTATGTAGGTAATAGTTGAAGCCCTCAGAATAGATGAGGTCATCTTGAAAGAGTGCTGCAAAAGCACATAGCTTAGAAAAAGGTCACAACAAAAGCTCCTCAGAAGAGTTGTTTCACAGAGAGGGAATGCAGTTTAACCAGTGTTTTCAGATTCACAGCAGGGATAAGGAACTTCTGGGATTGCAGCTTTAGTCTTAATTTCATATGGTATACTTGGCAAGTACCAAAAGCATATTGTCAAGTGGTAGTATTTGCAAAATTGACATTTAGTAACTAAAAGGTTACAAAACCATCATTTTCTGCAATTGTCATCTGAATTACAGGGATTTTTCTCTACCTACTTTCCAGACTGAGGAGTGGGGGGGATGCAGGAAGAGACTGAACATAAACTGTGCACCTATGGAAGAGGACAATGGAGGGTGGGGAAAGGGCAGAGGATGGGGTGGAAACCTGGTGGAGGGGGGGAAAAGAAGAATTTTATAATAATATGAATAAAGATTATTTTTTTAAAATTAAAAATTAAAAAAACAAAAAAAGTCAGTGTAGAGTGGACTGTGCATTGTAAAATCTTTGCTCGTAGTTCTATCTTACAGGGTCTGTGACTAAATAGAAATGATATATTCATTTAAAACCAATCTATACCTTACTTGTATTTTTTTACTTATGGCTTAACATTTATTGCCCTCCTCCCCCTCATGCACAAAAGTCAGTGACATACAAACAAAAAAGGTTCTTCTATACAAGTTTAGAGTTTTTTAACTTTTGATTCCCCATTCATTGTCTAGTATGTGGCTTGCATATAATAGGTGTTTAATAATTTTTTATGAATTGTTGATTTAAGAGTTAAACATGGTTTTAATATATGTATTTTCTTTCATCTTCTTAGGATGGCTGGCTGTGGTGAAATTGATCACTCAGTAAACATGCTTCCTACCAACAGGAAAGCGAATGAGTCCTGTGCTAATACTGCACCTTCTCTAACTGTCCCTGAATGTGCCATTTGTCTGCAAACATGTGTTCACCCCGTCAGTCTGCCTTGTAAGCATGTTTTCTGCTATCTGTGTGTAAAGGGAGCTTCATGGCTTGGAAAGCGATGTGCCCTCTGTCGACAAGAAATTCCTGAGGATTTCCTTGACAAACCAACCTTATTGTCACCAGAAGAACTCAAGGCAGCAAGTAGAGGAAATGGTGAATACGCATGGTATTATGAAGGAAGAAACGGGTGGTGGCAGTATGATGAACGCACGAGTAGGGAGCTGGAAGATGCTTTTTCCAAAGGTAAAAAGAGCACTGAAATGTTAATTGCCGGGTTTCTGTATGTTGCTGATCTTGAAAATATGGTTCAATATAGGCGAAATGAACATGGACGTCGCAGGAAGATGAAACGGGACATAATAGATATACCAAAGAAGGGAGTAGCCGGACTTAGGCTGGACTGTGAGGCCAACACCGTAAACCTAGCGAGAGAGAGCTCTGCCGATGGAGCGGACAGTGTCTCGGCCCAGAGTGGAGCTTCTGTTCAGCCGCTAGCATCTTCATCTGTGAGGCCCCTGACATCAGTAGATGGTCAGTTAACGAGCCCTGTGACACCATCCCCAGATGCAAGCACTTCTCTGGAAGACTCTTTTGCTCATTTACAACTCAGTGGAGACAGCCTGGCTGAAAGGAGTCATAGGGGGGAAGGAGAAGAAGATCATGAATTACCGTCCTCAGGCAGGGTACCGGCACCAGACACCTCCATTGAAGAGACTGAATCAGATGCCAGTAGTGATAGTGAGGATGTGTCAGCGCTTGTTGTACAACACTCCTTGACCCAACAGAGACTTTTGGTTCCTAATGCAAACCAGACAGTATCTGATCGATCAGATCGATCAATAACTGATGGATCACTAGCAGGGGGTGGAACAGTGAGTGCCAGTGTTAGATCTAGAAGGCCTGATGGACAGTGCACAGTAACTGAGGTTTAAATAGAAGTCTTCAGCTCCATGCTCAAGGTTAAAATGGTTATCTGTAAATTTCTGCCCACATAACATTATACTCATCCCTAGTAGTACATTTTGGGAGTTGGGGTGGGAAGGGGTATAGGAAGGATAGACCTATAATTAAAATGTCCAGTCTAACATGTCTCTGTTGAGAAATTTATTTAAGGAACTTGGGTGTTAATAGTTGAGAGCTGTTTAGTAATAACCCAGTTTTCTTGAAGTCTGTTTATTTTATAGTTTTAAAACACTCATTTCTTTTGGCCAGCGTGTATGTATTATCTGTGCATTAATGGTCCCATCTGACTTTTGCATTTTGTCTTACTTTCCTGCATGGATTTACATAAAGCCATTACTAAAATTTGGCACCTATGAGATGTCTGGTATCAGTTTTAACAGGAAGCTTAATTAACGTGAGAATACATGTGAATTTGGGGTTTTAAAATAGACAAAAACTATTTAATAGTAAAGTTACTGAAATGGAAATGTAAAGAAAACATCTAATAATTTATGTTTCATAATCTTGTCTGTAACATATTCATGGCGTTCCCATAAACTTTGCTGTCTAGTCCTTGTAGTTTGAAGTTTCTCTTGATCGTTTTTTCGTTACAAAATTTTTAATTTAATAAATACTAGACTTTATCAAAAAATCGTTTGTCTTTTGCTTGAGTCTGGAAAGAGGATGGAAACATTGGCATTTTTGACCAAAGGCCTCTAAAAACATGGTGGTTTCAGTTAGTGGTATTCAGCTTAAATGAGTCACCTGCTCAGAGAAGTCTGATTTTTTTTCTTATGGAGAGTATTTAAACAGAATTTGCAAGGAATATACATGAATAAATACATATGGAAATAGACCTAAAGCCTGTGAGACAAATTTCTTTAATAACTGGCAGTAGACACCATAAGTATTTTAGATTTTTCTTGCCAGTCTTCATTAGTGGTCTGATACTCATCTAAATTAAATGGTAGGCTTACCACTATTAGTAGACCCAAACTACCTTTCCACTAAATTATGTAGAACCTGTGGCAAGGTAGGAAATACGGGGTTCACTTGGTAATCCAGTTTGGTTCTGCAAAAAAGTAATGTAAGTTTACCTTCCTACATTTTCCTAGCTCAACACAGTAGGATCATGTTGATGAAGCATCTGTAAGTTATTTTAAAATGTGAATTGAATTTTACAAATAGCAAATAAAAACTGTCACTACTTTGAAATTACCTTTTTGCTCTTATGTTAGAATTGGGACTATTTCCATTTAATGTTTTTAAAAGCGTTAGATAATCATGACTTTTATAACTAAATTTAGTTCTATTAAATTTAGTTATAAAAGAAAGGCTAGCTACTTTTCCAGAAAAGAAAAAAAAAACAGAAATCTGATGTAAAACGCAAATGTAGATTACAGAATGTTTCTGAATTCTTTGAAGTCTTGAGCAGTTTTGATCTAAAGTTAGATTTTATGACAATAAATTCCAAGGCACACAAATGAATTAAAATTATTTCCAGGTTAGACAGAATAAAGACTTACAAAAAATAACACCATCAATAGGTTTTGTATAGTTTTTCTTTTTAAAATTGGCCTTTGGTTATAGGCTAAGAACCATTAAGGAAACTGGGGAATTGGCAGTAATTTTTAAGCCAAAAGTAATACATATTTTAGCCAAATGTTGCAAGTTTACTTGGTAAATACCCAGCTACAGTAGTTTCCTCCCCCATCTGTGGCGTTTTCAGCTATCCAGTTAACTGCAGTCTGAAAATATTAAGTGGGAAATTCCAGAAATAAACCGTAAGTTTTAAATTGTACGCTGTTCTTGGTGCGATGAAGTCTCGGATTGTCCTGATCCATCCTGCCCAATTTGAATCTTTTTGTTCAGCGTACCTGCACTGTGTTCTCTACCCGCCTGTTGGTCAGTAGCCATCTCAGTTATCAGATTCACAGGATCCCAGTGCTGGTATTCAAGAAAACCTTATTTTACTTAATAGTGGCCCCAAATAGTGACGCTGGCAATTTGGATATGTCGAAGAGGCAATGAAGTGTTTTGCTTAAGTGCAAAGGTGAGTATTGTACAATAAAATGTTTTGAAAAAGAGACTATATTCACGTAACTTTTATTACAGTATATTATCATTGTTTACTAGTTGTGTTAATCTCTTACTGTGCCTAACTTATAAATTGAACTTTATCATAGGTATGTAAGCATCACAGGATTCGGTATATCCAGTTTCAGGCATCTGCTGGGGGTCAAGGAACCTATTCCCTGCAGGTAAGGGGGGATTACAATACACTGAAAGCCATGCCAGTGAGTTTAGGTATTCAAAAAATGATTAAAAAACCCACGCACGTTCAATATTTAACTTTTCTACACATTAAATTGGAGGTGCAGTGCACCATATTTAAAAGCAACTATTTACAAAATTTTCCTTTCCTAGCAATAGCCTCCAAATTTGCCGGTCCACCCCAAAGTGTCCCAACAAGATCTCTTTCAGTCTGTAACGCCTCCTCGAAACAAAGCTCTTTGCCTGAAGAAACGGTTTTTTTCAGAGCTCTGATCACTTCCGGCGGCCCTTGGGTAAACTGACTGAGCCATTCTTGGGCCTCTTTTAGACTCTCAGCTTCATCTGAGGACTGCAAGACCTCATCCACCATCCCTAGACTTAACGCTAGTTTTGAATCCAGTTTGAGAGCCCCACTTAACACTTTGAGAGCTTGTTTACTGCCAATAATATCAGCCAGTCGGGTAGCTCCGCCCCAGCTGGGTATTATGCCCATTTCCTTGTGAACAAATCTGATCTCACTCTCTCTCGTCATTAATCTGCAAAAGAGAAGAAAAAACATAATTGTGATTACGTATGCTTTAGTCATAAAGTACTACCTATTCATGATCTGATCTAAAATCGCCATAGCTCTTTATAGATACACTAAAAACTGAACGTTAAAAAAAATCTGGCTAAGTATAGAATTCAACTTATACACAGTAAAATACTTCCCTTTGAAAATAGTGTCAAACATTTTTGTTGTGCTTATTTTTTATTTTGCAAATAAGAATCTAGTCTTTATGTTTAGTTCTAAAAGCCCAAAGTGTATCAGTAAAGTGGTGGCCTACTGAGAAAACCCAGGTTAAGTGAAAATATGGGAGTTAGGTGCATGCCATGGGTAAAAAATGCATTTTTGGGTCAATAGTACTCAGGAAAAGGAAAATTGTTTAACCCAGCAAATATGTACTAAGCACTACCAATGTCAGTTTACATTCCTGTTAGAGAAAGACAATGAATGATATGTCAATGGTGATTAAGTACTATGAAGAAAAATAAAATGGGCCTTGGCTGGTGTGGCTGGGTTGAAGCATCTTGTACATCAAAAGGTAGCAGGTTCAGTTCCTGGTCAGGACACACAGCCAGGTTGTGAATTTGATTGCTAGTCGGGATGTGTGCGGGAGGCAACCGATTGGTGTTTCTCACATCAACGTTTCCCACTACAATAAAAAAATAAAGTGAGGCAAGAGACGAGAGAATAAAGATGTGTTGGAGACGTGCTATTTTAAATGGAAAAGGCCTCTGAATATCTGAGCAGCTACTCTAGTGAATATTTGAGCAGCTACCCTAGTGAGTAAGCAATGAAAACTGCAGGGCCAGTGTTCCAGAAAGAGGGATTGCAAGCACAAAGCCCTTGAAGTAGAACTTAGTATCTGTGGGGAACAGGCTACTGTAGCTGGGATGGAGTAAACTAATGGGAGCAGGAATAGGAGAAGTAGGCCGAGGCCTTAGATGGGAATATCAATTTTTAAGTTTGAAGCTATTTAGAGGTTACCCAAGAGAGTAGTATCTGAGGGTTACCTGGTTACTGTGTTAAGACTATTTAGCATTCAATAGCACACTATTTATATCTCTGGAACTTTTTAAAAATATATTTATTGATTTCGGAGAAGGAAAGGGAGATAGAAACGTCCATGATAAGAGAGAATCATTGATTAGCTGCCCCTTGTATGCCCCCCTACTGGGAGTCTAGCCTACAACCCAGACATGTGCCCTGACTGAGACCTGAACTGTGACCTAGTTCATGGGTTGACACTTAACCACTGAGCCACACCAGCCGGGCTGTCTATGGAATTTCATGTCAATAATCCTCAGAACAATCATATGAGGTATAGAAATATGCTCATCTTACACAAGGAAACTGAGGTAACTAAATAAATACCTCACTGAAGTCTCCCGTGTAGCTAGAACAGAGCCAGAATTAAAACCCAGGTAGTTTAACTTCATGTGTGCTCTGAACCTCACACACAACAGTTAGACAAGAATGGAAGCAGGGATATCATTAAGAAAGTTGACAGCAGCTCAGGTGAGACTGAGAGCAATGACTTCCTGTAACAGGAATTCATTTTCTCCAAATCTTGGAATTTTTATGGATAGGGTGGTTAATAAGCAAAGTTGAAACCATAAGGGGAGTTAACACAAAGAAATTAGTGAGCATAGCAAAAGGCTCCATTATTTGCCAGTTAAATATCTGTGCACTATTAATAGACTTTTAGGGAATGGTGCCTATGAGTTTTATATGGAGGCTTCCATAAGAAGATTTCACTATGTTAAAACCTTAATTTGGACCGAAGGTCATGTCTGAATTTTAATTTTTTTTAAAGTATCGTTTCAACACTCATGACCAAAAACAGACTACAAGTTAGCTTTCTAAAATGTTCAATGCAGCCGAAATTGGTTTGCCTCAGTGGATAGAACATCAGCCTGTGGACTAAAGGGAACCGGGTGCGATTCCGGTCAAGGGTATGTACCTTGGTTGTGGGCACATCCCCAGTAGGGGGTGTGCAGGAGGCAGCTGATCAATGATTCTCTCTCATCGATGTTTCTGACTCTCTATCCCTCTCCCTTCTTCTCTATAAAAAGTCAATAAAATATATTTTGGAGGGGAAAAGTACTCTAAGTCTTTAAAAAAAAAAAAATTCTAGGAGTTGAAGAGTTATTAGTCCCAAATAACTTGATTCCTAATCAACCCAGTTACTATATAAATCACAGTAGAGATAAGTGTATAGCTGTAGCTTTAAAGTACCGAAACTTATTTTTATTAAGAGGATGACTACAGCAGTCTCTCTCCATTACTTTTGTTTTAGTTATTTTCCTTGTATTCTTTTTAATCTTAAAGTTTCATAGATTTCTTTGGCTTTCCTTCTCAGGGATTTTGCTGAAATGGATTTGATTTATTTATAATCAACTTGTTTCGTTAAGTTTTTGAATGCATGGTAATAGTACAGTTCAACTGGCTAACATCTACTTCAATGGTTAACAAAAATAAATAATTAATAATTGATTTTCCTATTTAAGAGTACATAAGTATTTATATTCAGGCAAAAAACAAATTTGAGCCTATGTTAATTGTATCTGTGCAGGCAGGAGTGCAATCTTCATCCTACCTGAAATCACATGCCGTGACAAACTCTGCTCCTCCGCCCAAGGCCCAGCCTTGGATCAGGGCAACACTTATTAAAGGAAGTCTGTATATTGAAGGAAAAAATGTATATTAACATTTTAAATTTCAATATTGATCTACAAACATTATTAAAAACTTGAGATGCAATAGAAACAAAATTATTAAACAATGTTTATAATAAATAAGAAACAAATCTCAAAGGATAGCCTGTGCTTCATGAGGAGCAAATCAGTATAATACTGAAGATATTTATACAATTCATACAAAATGCCATATATGTTTATCAAAATACCTCTCTGAATCATTGTTTATTTTAAAACCATAGCCATGTTCTAAAGGATATTTTGGGGTAATATACAGCTCCGGGCACTTCTCAACTACTTACTGGCAATCAGGAATAACTCAATGTGATATTGCCTTATAACATTTTTATTGGCATCAGGTTATAAATGGAAAAGTTAAAACTGTATCCAAAGGGAGGAAATGCGGTACAGAGAATGAGCTCCAAAACTGTATTGTCATAAAGGTTCCTGTCTTTTCACTACTCACAGAGATTATCCAGAGATAATTCTTATATAAAGAAAAGGTTCTGTAGAAAAAACAACTCGCTTCCTGTTTGCAAAGACCCATTTTGCAGTGCAAGACTGTATCAGCATAAAAGATTAATCCAAAATGTTTTTGAAAGTATAGATTTTTTTAAGTTCTAATTTAAATGCATAGCTATAAAGTACAGTAACTAAAAACTTCTTAATACTCTTCTCTCAATTAAAAATAATTATTGAAACCCTAGCCAGTTTGGCTCAGTGGATAGAGCATTGGTCTGCAGACTCGTAGGGTCCCAGGTTCAATTCTGATCAAGGGCACATGGGGACTCGATCCCCAGTAGTGGCCGTGCAGGAGGCAGCCAATCAGTGATTCTCGCTCACTGATGTTTCAATCTCTCCTTTCTCCTTCCAACTCTGAAAACAATAAAATAATAATTTTTTTAAACTTTAAGGAAAAAGCCAAATATAATAGAGAAAGGTGAACAGGAGCCAATACAATGAAAAAAGTGTTTTTAGAATATAATGTTATGATTCCATTGTTCTTCTTAAGACTCTCAGAAAGAACAACAAAAATACAATGTTGTCCAATTCATTAATATGCTAAGTAAATAGGAATTCCCTTAGTTTTTATAGGTTTTAAGTTGTTTCCAGTTGGAATATAGTAGTAGTAGCTCATCTCAGCTCAATCATGTCATTGTTTATAATCCCAAATGCAAAGTGAAGTCATCTTCCTCACCAACCTGTACTTCTTTTTCTCCAATCAGCAGTTCTCCTCAGGATATGGACCACTTCACTATACATTCTACTGATTCTGTTAGGTAATCTTTGTGTCCTCTTCTGAGCGTGTCTTTATTCTGCTCTGATAACAGTATTTTACCTTTCCCGTGTCCATACCTAAATATATGCAGCTAATAATGATCTTTTTATGAAAAAGTACTATATTTTAAATTCTTTTTATCTTTCATGTCTCTTATTTTTAAATACTTGGGTATATTTTAATAACATTTAATTAAATGACTATTCTCGGTGACACAAATAGTTCACTATTAGAAAAATATAATTTGAAAATCGGTTATTTTTTACTGGTGCAACACAGAATAATAAAAACCTATTTTTTTTATTTATTTTTTTTTTTAGAAACCATATTCTAAAAAGAAAAATACATTACCTCATCAATCTTGTTAAGGTGTTTTGCATGAACATACATAAGGCCACTCCATCCTTTAAAAAATAAAAATAACCAAAGACAAAATTATAATGCAAATGTATAAGAATCAAAAACAAAAACAAAAAAACACCATTTTCAGGGATTAGAAAGAAAGCCAATAATACATCTAACTTCTTTTTTTTTTTTTTTAATGAGTTTTTTCATTTAAAACTCTTGGATACTGCCTGAAATGAAAATTATGCAGTTTTGGATTTTATTGATGTTCTAGGACTCCTTGGGCTCGGCTCTGAATGAGGCATTAGCAAAGACTTAGAGGTGAGTTAGATCACATACCCCTGAACTGTATCAGGTTCTACTGGAGAGAATATGGAGGGAAGAGACATAGGATACCCCATCTATTATCCCAAACTCCACTCCCCTAAAAACATACAGCCCACATTTACAATTTAATGGCAGCAAATACTTTTATTTTCCTTTTTCATTTCTCTCTCATGTTTTGTTTTTATTTGTGTTTTTGTTGTTATTGTTTGGGGTCTAGGGAATGTATGGAAGCCTGAATTCAAGAAAAATGGAGGACTGATAATGGATGATTAGGATTCTTTTTTTATTGGGATAATAATTCAAAGCAAAACTAAATAGTTATCATTTGTTGAAGCTTGCTAAAGCTACGTTAGATTCTTTACAGTATACCTCATATAAAATTCCTTATCAGTAGATGCTAAGGGGCTTCCACTTAAAATTCAAATGTATTCAATAATGTACTTCAGTTATTGCTAATCTCCCCGTTCTTCTTCCCCCATCCCCTCCCCTCCCCCCCATCCCTGCGCCAATACTTCACACTATTGCAACCTAATCTTTAAGAAGCAAAACAAAAACTCTGAACCTTGGAAAGCTATTAAAGAGTAGCTGTCATCATAACCATATAAGTAAAATATAAATAGCTCCACCATAGCTGTCTGGTAAACATGTAAAGCCCGGTATGTAATTCATATATACTTGCCTCTGGAGTCCCTAGTGCTTTCACAGCATGCAGATCGGATCCTGAGGAGAATGTATTTTTTGCCCCACGTACGATGAGACCTTTCCCTTCGGTCCAATTTTCCAATTCAGTCACTCTTTCCAAAAGTTGTAGCATCATAACACCTGACAGAGAGAGGAGGGGGAATCATAAACAGCTAAGTTACTAGAGAAACAAATAATTTAGAAGCCATAAGGCATCATCAAACAAGATTCTTATGTCATATACTATACAAATATTTACTGAACGTCAAATACCTCATGTGTTGGTACTATGACGTACATGCAAAAGAGGTGTACATAACAATCCCTGGTTTAAAAGCTTAAGTATACATCATAATCCCTGGTATTATGGTAGCACAATTCGAATTTGAGCTTTGGACAAAAATCACAAATTAACATGTATCCTAGACCTTCAGGTCTCTTAGATATAAAATTCTTATATTCCAAGAGTGCTGCCTAGCAAATAGAAGGTATTTACCAGTACCTGAGTTAGGAAATGAGAAACAAATAGATAGGCAAGTACAGTGTTTTCATTGATTATTGAAATTACATGGTTAAAATCTGTCTTATTTCAATTCACAAAAAGGAAAATGTAGGCTACATAGTAATTTCTTTTTCCATTTATAGATTTTTCTCTTTAGTTTTTAAAAATCTTTGAAACCACCTTAATTTTGTCTCCCAGTAACATTATCTGAACACAAACAAATGAAGTTAATAAGCAATTAATAAATTTCAATGGAAAAAATAATAAAGATTAATTTGAAATTTTCCTTCTCATCAGCATCTGTATTCCCAGATTTTTTAAAAAAGAAAAACATCGCCGAAACTGGTTTGGCTCAGTGGATAGAGCATCGGCCTGCACACTGAAAGGTCCCAGGTTTGATTCCGGTCAAAGGCATATGCCTTGGTTGCGAGCACATCCCCAAAAGGGGGTGTGCAAGAGGCAGCTGATCGATGTCTCTCTCTCATCGATGTTTCTAACTCTATCCCTCTCTCTTCCTCTCTGTAAAAAATCAATAAAATATTTTTTTAAATAAAAAGAAATAAAAAGAAAGAAGAAAAACATTAAAACTACCACCATTAGTAACAATGTTCATGGTTCACATGATGTTTTGTTTCCATGTTCTACAAAAGGTACCATGACTTTCATGAATTATGTCATAAAAGTAAGGAAAAGAGTCATGTAATAGCAGGTTAGAATTAGTGTCACTTTTTAACAAGCAAAGAAAGCTCTCCATACCCGAGAAGGCATTCCTTTTACTGGGATTGTTCAGAGTAAGAATGCCAATGCCATTGTCTTCCTTCTGAAGGTCAATGGATCCACCAGGAAACTGCTGAAGTTTTTTTTTTACTTCCTCCTCATGGAAGCCGTGAGATGTATTATAAAGTGACAATCCCGTCTGATGTAGCAATTTTGTCCTTAGAGACATAGAGGATGTCTTCAAAAGACTTGCTGCCATTTCTGGAAAAGAGACATACCGGTAAGCATACAATAGTGCAGATGAACAGACACTGTTGTGCTATTTTTGTTGTTGTTGTTGTTAATAGACCTTTCTGTTTAATTGGAAGGACTTTCCCACAACTAAAGGCACTTTTTGAAGAAAGATGGTCAGTATGGAATTCCTTTCCTTTTCCCCCCTTTCTCAAACCACATAGATCACACAGTATATTATTTCAGTACATCACTGAGATAATGGCACAGTTACAGTACACTCATTACGATGTAATACACTAGGAAAGTTTAGAAGAATGTTGCTGTTCCGTATTTAGCATCATCTCCTGACGCCAGGTAGTTTTTCTCATCACAATTGTTCTTTTCCAACTCTTTAATAACTTTTCCTAAACTTAAGAAATTCAATCCAAATGTCCACTTAGAAATAGTCTTAATGCAAAAATGTTTTAAGAACAATCCTGTTCTCTAACAGAAATTTTATTCTTAGCATTATCCTTACTTTATATAATGTTCTCACAGAAAAAGTTGGAAGGATCCTGAGGAAAAGAAATAGGAATGTATGTGTCTGTGGTTTCTGTATTCCCCAGGGTTCTGTCACTCTTCTCTTCTCCCGGGTAATCTCAACTCTGCCCACAGGCTTTTCTTATGTAAGCACTGGTGTTGACATAAGACGTACTAGTACATTCAGAAAAGTACACAGCTCAATGAGCTACATATCCTATCTAATAAAATAGTAATATGCAAATTGACCATACCTCTGCTATACCCACAGGCCACACCCACCAATCAGGAGCGAATATGCAAATAAACCCAACCAAGATAGCTGCAGCCATAGAGAGCAGGAGGGAGACTTGGGTTTCCCTGGCAATGGAGGAAGCCAACCTTTCCGCCTGCGCTTGCTGGCCTAGGCCTCCACTCGATGCTATAAAGTTTCAATGATAGAAGATAAATAAATCCCAACAAAAATGGCGGCAGCCACGGAGCTGGAGAGAGCAGGAGGCTTGGGTTTCCCCAAGTGATGGAGGAAGCCAAGCTTTCTGCCTGCTTTTGCCAGCCTGGGCCTCCACTCCACGCTACAAAGTTTCAATTATAGAAGATAAATAAATCCCAACAGAAATGGCTGCCACCACAGAGTGAGCAGAAGGCTTGGCTAGGCTCTAGGCTACAAAGTTTCAATTATAAAAAAATAAATCCCAGATACCAGGGCCTCTGCTTGGGTTGCAGAGGGGTGTGGCCAGCCTCAAACCACCATAGGCCCCACACCCCAAAGGAACTCCCACCCTGATTTGTATACCCTTAAGGGCAAACCAAGTGGCCCCTACCCATGCACCAAGCCTCTATCCTATCTAATAAAAGAGTAATATGAAGATTGACCATTACTCCAACACATAAGATGGCTGCCCCCATGTGATCAAAGATCCTGCCCCATGTGGGCACAAGATGGCCTGCAAGGGAGGGCAGTTGTGGGTGATCATCCATCAGGGGAGGGCAGTTGGGAGGGAACAGGCCTGCAAGAGAGGGCAGTTGTGGGCAATCAAGCCTGCAGGGGAGGGCAGTTAGGAGTGACCAGGCCAGCAGAGGAGGGAAGTTGGGGGTGTCTGGGCCTGCAGGGAAGGGCAGTTGGGGAGACCCAGGCCTATAGGGGAGGGCAGTTAGGGGCAAACAGGCTGTCAGGGGAGTAGTTAGGGGGTGATCAGGCTGACAGGCACAAGCAGTAAAGGGCAATCAGGAAGGCAGGCATGTGAGCAGTTGGGAGCCAGCAGTCCTGGATTGTGAGAGGGATCCCAGATTGGAGGGTGCAGACTGGGCTGAGGGACACCCCCCTCCCCCATGCACGAATTTCGTGTATCAGACCTCTAGTCTATATATATAAAAACCTAATGACTGGTCGCTATGATGTGCATTGACCACCAGAGGGAAGGTGCTCAACGTGGGAGCTGCCCCCTGGTGGTCAGTGCACTCCCACAGTGGGAGCACTGCTCAGCTGACCAATGGGCACCAAACACTGAACTCACTACCAAGTGTCGGCAGTGGCAGGCGCATAGAGCCAGGATGAGCAGGAGCAGCGCAGCATCAGGCCCGGACTAGGCTCCTCCTGGCCGCCTGCCGCTTAGGGCACTAGTCCATCCTGAGGGGGGTGTCAGCTGGCCTGCTGGATCAAGCCAAAACCAGCAGTCTGACATCCCCTGAGGGGGCACAGGCCAGGCTGAGGAACCCCACCGGTGCATGAATCCATGCACCAGGCCTCTAGGTAATATGCAAACAGACCGAATGGCAGAACAACTGAACAACCAATCAAAGCATAATATGCTAATAACATGCTAAGGCTGCTCAACTGCTTGCTATGACGTGCACTGACCAACAGGGGGCAGATGCTCAAACCGGTAGATTAATTTGCTGCTGCGGTCGAGCCAATGGGGACTGAGAGAGATGGGTGGGACATGCCCTGAAGCCCTCCTGTGGTCCCTCTCCGGCCAGTTGTGCACAGTGTGGTTCTTCAGCCTGGATTGCATCAGCCTGGATTGCACCCTCTTGCAATCCAAGACTCCTCATGGGATTTCGAGAGCTGGTTTCAGCCCGATCCCGAAGGCCACTCCCCTTGGGAGGGCACCAGATGCAGGGCTCAAGCCTATCCCAATCGGGACTGATTAGGCGCCAGCCTGCATCAGGCACAGTGGGGCCGGGTTGAGCAGAGCAGCAGGCGGCATTGGACTGCAGGTTTTGTCCCGATCCCTGCAGGCCACCCAGAGGGAGCCCACCCATGCACAAATTCGTGCACTGGGCCTCTAGTAAGTAAACAACAGCACTGAATGAATACATTTAAGCCAATAACAGCACTCGGTAGATAACATGAATCTCAGGTTTGTTATGCCACTTTTCAATCACCACTCCAAATAAGGAAAACAACTACCTTGACTTCTAATATCCAAGATTTGAACTTTATATAAATTAAAAAATATGGTATTTTATTTTGTGTCTGATTTCAACTATGTTTGTGGCATCCACCACTGCTATGATGTGTACTTAAGAGACAAAAGATTCTCTCTCTCTCCCTTTCTCCTTCTCTCTCCAATATGTCCAAGCTTGCTTTTACCAGGAGTATGCTTTATGCTTGTTTTGCCCCTGGGGATATGTCAGATATAAAAAGACAACTCATTAGAAAACTAAATTGGAGCAGAAGGCTTGATCTTCTCCACAATACTTCAGTATAAAAGAAATGTGTCAATGAAACCTGATAAGGACTTGGATGGCTATTTTTTTTTTTTAAAAGGTGCCTATATTCTGTTTGGGAAAAATAACAAAAATTAAATAAGAAAATAATAAAGTATGATTCATAAAATCATTATCATTTTAAATTATTATTGTGGGATAATAGAATCAATAAACACTATATCGTCTCATTGTCATGAGTCCATTTGTCTTTGTTTCCATGTTCTAAAAAGAGTTCACAAATTATGTCACCCGCCGAAACCGGTTTGGCTCAGTGGTAGAGCTTTGGTCTGTGGACTGAAAGGTCCCGGGTTCGATTCCGGTCAAGGACATGTACCTTGGTTGAGGGCACATCCCCGGTAGGGGGCGTGCAAGAGGCAGCTGATCGATGATTCTCTCTCATCGATGTTTCTAACTCTGTATCCCTCACTCTTCCTCTCTGTGAAAAAATCAATAAAATATATTTAAAAAAAAAAAATTATGTCACCCAAGTAAGGATAACATTCACGTAAGCACCCCTCCTTCCAATCCAATAACACAAAGACACTGGTATAGATGCCATCAGATCTATTTCTCCTTATACTTAAATCATTACAATTTAAAATATTTATGTAACTAAATAGTGCCCCAGTGCATGAAATTTGGGGGAGGGTCAGAGGGAAGGAAGGGGGTGTGGGGGTTGTCCTTCAGCCCAGCCTGCACCCTCTCCCATTTGGGACCCCTTGAAGGATGTCCTACTGCCAGTTTACAGGGATCGGGCCTAAACAGGCAGTTGGACATCCCTCTCACAACCCGGGACTGCTGGCTCCTAACTGCTCACCTGCCTGCCTGCCTGACTGCCCCTAACCACTCTGTTCGCCCCCAACTGCCCCCCACCGCTGGTCTGCTCGCCCCCAAATGCCCCCCCCATCAACCTGATCACCCTTAACTGCCTCCTGCCATCCTGATCACCCCCAACTGACCCCCACTAATGGCCTGCTCGCCCCCAACGGTCGTTCCCCCACCTCCCGCCAGCCTGATCACCCCCAACAGCCTTCCCCCTACACCGGCCTGATCACCCACATCTCCCCTCGCCTCTTGGTCTCTAACGGCCTCTACCATGGCTTTGTACAGAAGAATGGCTGGAAGGTCTGGAAGGTCTCCCAGTCTAACTAGCATATTACCCTTTTATTAGTATAGATACTATATCTCATTAGACATCTTTGATATGATTTTCCCAAGGAAACATAAATACTTCCTGCCCTCTTCCACTAATTCTCCCTTCTTTTCTCTCCTCATATTCCCTTGCCTGTGCCACGAAATAGTACCAAGGAAACGCAAGAGACCTGCCTACCAGGGCTGCTGACCCCTGTTTGGAAATCCAATTCTAGAAATCTGATAATAGCCAAAATGTACAATTTCATCACAATTCTAACTTCAGGACAAACACTTCAGTGCTAAGGAGATGATAAGGTGTTAGCTTCTTTTAAGCTACCATAGTATCTGAAAGTACAAGTGAAGGAAGGAACAAGGTTGAGATTCAATTTTTGTGTAAACATGTAGTTAAGCAATCAGCATTTTGGGCTAGTTCTAGAATCATAAGACGATGAACACGTTCGGAGGCATTTGCCACTTGATACACTTTCTTCAGGGCAAAGTGAAAGTTGAAGGCTTGTCATGCAGAATGCTTTGCTTTCTGGCCTCAAGCAGATTCAGTTCAGCAGAAGGAGCTTAAAACCACACCACAGGGAAAGGGGAGGAGAAGGGAGCCCCACAGGCAGCTGAGATCAAAGGCGTCACTTTCTCCCTTTGTGACAGTGCTGCAAACGTGATCAAGAGTTTTCCTCTCGCTGAAACCGGTTTTGCTCAGCGGTAGAGCGTCGGTCTGCGGACTGAAAGGTCCCGGGTTCGATTCCAGTCAGGGGCATGTATGTTGGTTGCGGGCACATCCCCAGTAGGGGGTGTGCAAGAGGCAGCTGGTCGATGTTTCTCTCTCATCGATGTTTCTAGCTCTCTGTCTCTCTCCCTTCCTCTCTGTAAAAATCAATAAAATATATTTTAAAAAATTAAAAAAAAAAAAGTTTTCCTCTCTGCACAGGGAATAAGCTAGCTGTTCTCTTAAAACCCATTCACACGTTCTGAAATATAATAAACCAAAAAATTGCCGGGACCGGTTTGGCTCAATGGATAGAGCGTCGGCCTGGGGACTGAAGGGTCCCGGGTTCGATTCCGGTCAAGGGCATGTACCTGGGTTGGGGGCATATCCCCGGTAGGGGGTGTGCAGGAGGCAGCTGGTCGATGTCTCTCTCTCATCGATGTTTCTAACTCTCTATCCCTCTCCTTTCCTCTCTGTATAAAATCAATAAAATATATTTAAAATATATTTAAAATATATTTAAAATATATTTAAAATCAATAAAATATATTTAAAATATATTTTAAATATTAATTATATTTAAAATATATTTAAAATATATTTAAAATATATTTAAAATATATTTAAAATCAATAAAATATATTTAAAATATATTTTAAATATTAATTTTTTACAGAGAGGAAGGGAGAGGGATAGAGAGTTAGAAACATCGATGAGAGAGAGACATCGACCAGCTGCCTCTTGCACACCCCCTACCGGGGATATGCCCCCAACCCAGGTACATGCCCTTGACTGGAATCGAACCCAGGACCCTTCAGTCCGCAGGCCGACGCTCTATCCATTGAGCCAAACCGGTTTCGGCATCAATAAAATATATTTAAAAAAAAATAAAAATAAACCAAAAAATTAACACAAATGCATACTCAATAAGAAAACAATTAGCCTAAGGTAGTGAGTAAACAACAACAAAAAAATCAGAAATATTCTGTTTCAGACAGCCAATATATGACTGCTTTTCAAGCTTGGATTTGGTGTTAGGCTGTCGTTATATAATGTTCCATGCAAGTTTCATTACAAGCCACACACACCCTCTTTGCTACAGCCAAAATTAACTTACTTCAATTTCTCAAATCCTTTAAGTTGTCTCTTCATCCCAAGCCTCTGTCTATGTGATTCCTTACCTGTTACACGTTCCTCTTCCTCAGAGTAACTTCAGATCACTTCCTTTAGCACTCTAGACTACATCAAATACTCTAAATGTCTGTTTGCATTTATCTTCTTTATGAACACTCACTTTCCCATAATAAACCAAATCCTCCCACTAGGAAGTCATTTGCATGTTTAGAACACTGCTTGACAAAATGGTATGTGTCAATAATACTTTGGCATACAAGGCTTAAGAATTCATAAGGTGCCGAAACCGATTTGGCTCAGTGGTAGCGCATCGGCCTGCGGACTGAAAGATCCCAGGTTCCATTCCGGTCAAGGGCATGTACCTGTGTTGTGGGCCCATCCCCGGTAAGGGGTATGTAGGAGGCAGCTGGTCGATGTTTCTCTCTCATCGACGTTTCTAGCTCTCTATCCCTCTCTCCTCCTCTCTGTAAAAAAAAATCAATAAAATATATTAAAAAAAAAAAATCCATAGGAGGCTTAAAAATCTGTCCACAAAAGCCCTAGCCGGTTTGGCTCAGTGGATAGCGCGCCAGCCTAAAGGCTCCTAGACCCGATTCCCCTCAAAGGCATATATACCTCGGTTACAGGCTCAATCCCCCTGCAGGAGGCAACCAATTGTTGTATCTTTCTCACTTTGATATTTCTCTATCTCTCTCCATCCCTTCAACCTTCTCTAAAAAAATCAATGGCAAAATATCCTCACATGAGGATTAACAACTACAAAAAAAAAAAAAAAATCTGCCCACAAACCAACTCTCCATCTACCCTGTTTATTATTTCCACCACTCACCCTGTTGGGACTCCATTCCTCTTTGCAAGCTGGTTTCTCCTATGGGAACGATGGTCACTGCCTGTGCTCCACTGACTGTATGCACTCAGCTTTCAAGTCAGACAAGAAAAACGTCAATGAAAGGTCAGGTGACTACGTTCCTTCCTCCTCCAGGAAATGTCACAATTTTCACCTCTATCCCCCAGCACCTAGAGCCTTGGCTGGTAAACACTAGGCTCTCAGATGAGTAAGTGAGGCAAAAGGTGGGTCCATGCAGACTTCCTCTCAAAGTCCTCATCAGTCTTTTCAACAGGTAAGTGATTTACGTAATCTGTGGTTTTGATCCCCTACATTTGTGTAGCAATAAAAGGATTACTGCAGCTCAAAAAAAAAAAAAAAAAAAAAAATCTACAGCACATTCCAAGCATAAGTTGAACCGCTGTTGTCGTCCTTATGCCTGCAAACTTGGCTGCGCGAAGCAAGTTATGTAGTTTTAATTAAGCAAGCTAATTTAATAGCTGGGTGGTGGCAAGGGCAAGTGTCCAGGTCCTTGGGCCCCTTACCTGGCCAGGATTGCACATCAGCAAACAAAAACAAATCCCTGCCATCGGGACGTTCCCTTCGGCCAAATCCCCGTCGCCAAGCCAACTCTGGGCCTTCTCGACCTACCCGGCGTTGCCTATGCGGCCCCAGGCAATCCCACATTTTCTCCCTCTGACTTTTCCTTTAGTCTTTGTCCTATAAAGGCTTTGGGCCCTGCACCCCACCGTGCGACCCCCGGAGAGACTACGCTTCATGACAGACTGAAAAAAGCAAAGCATCTGTTTGCATCAGCCAGATGGTCTTGCATTATTTTCATAACACCCCTCAGCACGGGGCCTGGAAAGTATTCCTAATTTAAATCGGTGCGTTGAAAACAATGCCTCCCGATTCGGCTATTTCCCCCACGTTCTCCAGAAAGTGTTCCCCTCCGGCTCTCACCTGGCCGAGTCCGGCGGCGGCGCTGGGCACTGCGTCCGCCCGCCCAGCAGGGGGCAGTGTCCTGCGCGGCGGTTCCGCCGGCACCGCGCCGCTGGAGCCCGGCGGGGCCCGGCATGCAATTCGGGTGGAGAAACGCTCAGGCCCATTACACACAGCGACAGGCTAGGGCTCTCTCCTAGCCGACACCGATAATGCAGCCCCTACGGCCAAAGTCTGGGAAGCCGCCCGGCGCTGACTTCCCCTCCCGGCCCCCGCGCGCCCCTTTTCCGCTTTCACACGCCCCCGCTTCCGCTCCTACGTGCCCCTCTTCCGCCTTCACACGCCCCTCTTCCGCCCCTACGTGCCCCTCTTCCGCCTTCACACGCCCCTCTTCCGCCCCTACGTGCCCCTCTTCCGCCCTTCAGCGCCCGCCCCTCTTCCGCCCTTCAGCATCCGCCCTCCGCCGTCCCTTCCTTCCTCCGCCCCCCCAAGTCCGTCGGCGCCCTTCCCGGTGTCCCCATTGAGCCGGGGCCCTGGGACTCCTGTGGTCCTTGCTTCATGTTTTGGGTCCTGCGACAGAGGGTTAGAGCTGGTGCAGGAACGCTGCCAAACCCCGTTTATTTTCGGATTCCGATGTTGACTTCGAAAATACGCAAATGATAAAAGGCTGGGGCCAGCTTGCATGGCCGATCCACAGCATCCCTGATGGCAGTGAACCTGTGTAGATGTGCACCCAGAAGATGTGCAGAGCATTTCCTGTGCCCTGAGTGAAATGTGGAATCAGAAAGCGGGAAAGCCCTAGCTAGTTTGACTAGTGGATAGTGCCTCGCCCTGCGGACTGAGGGATCCCTGGTTGGATTCTGGACAAGGATATATGCCCGGGTTGCAGGTTCCTTCCCCAGTAGGGGGCGCGCAGAAGGCAGGCAATCAATGATTCCCTCCCAACATGGAAGTTTCTTTCTCACCCTCTCTCTTCCTTTCTGAAATCAATAAAAGTATATTTTTTTTAAAAAGAAAGAAAAAGCTGGGAGCACTCTTGCACATGGGGTTACATTAATGTCAGCAGTAGCTAAAAATTTCTCTCAGGGACTAAATTGCCTGCCTTGCAGGATTATGTAGGCCTTTCAGAATTTTGCCACAATATTAGGACAAGGAGGAACAATCCTTAAAATCTGGGGATAAAATTGCCCCCAATCCATGAAGAACTGAGGCACCAGAATAGAAGTGAAAATGATTGAAAGAAAATGTAGGGAGTGGCTATAGGGTCAAGTCTCAGACTGAACTGTGGCAGAGCCACATACAAGTCCCAGCTTGGAGGGCAGAGCCCTCCTAACAATTAAGCTTGACCCTCTAGTCCTCCCTTGCTCCTAGGTAAACATGTTGACCAATCCCCTTGCTTTGCTTTGTATGATCTGACTATAAAGTAAAGCTTTGGCTTATAGGCTGTCACTTTTCTCATCCAGGCAGTGTTCCTACCTGGACCCAACTGTATTCTCTTATATATCTTCTTTAATCCTTCACTGCCTGGCCTCAGGTTCACCCTGGACATGCTGGGACCACTGTCCTCTGTTGGAGAGACAGGGACCCAGAACCAATACAGTGTGTTTATTTTATACATCAAAAACCAGGAAGTTTTACTAAAAGTTGAGACAAAGGAGATTGTGTGCATTCTTGGGTGGGCCCGAGTCATACTCATTCCTGGTGCTTGGCTAGATTTAGAAAACGGAACCCTCCACTGGTACCTGGGCTGAAGGTCAAGCTGACAACACTCCTGCCTCTGGCAAGGTGTGTTTCCAGGACGTGGCTTTGCCAGCACCACTGGGTTCAGCTGACAGTAATTAAAGAAATGCTCATGTGCTTTCCCAGGCCCTATCTACGCACAACATCCGTCTTTCTGATTCCCACAGAAGGAACTCACCCGGGAATAAGCTCTTCTTTAGTGTTAACCATTGTTTTAAGGTTTGCTATGACAACTGTTGGAATTTTATAGTAAGCTCCCATTAGACTGTCTGTCACCTAGGTTGACCGTGAGCACTGTTTCCATAAAGTATTTGTTCAAATATGAAAACAATAGGCTTAATCTTTCATCTATGAAGGCATGCTGGGAAGCAGTCTTTAAATTTTGAACTCTTCCTATCAGCAATCTATTTCAGAATTACAGTTAAGCAATCAATTATTAAACAGTGTTTCAATGTGACTTCAAGACTGAGTGCCCTGTCCTATGACACTGATGATCTAGCAGGGAATAAGGTTTCCATTTGGAGGTGGAGGTGACAACCATTGAACAAATAGTCACAAATGTGATTTCTGTTGAGAAAGAAGAAATGGAGATTTTTCTTGTTTGTTTCACATAACTTTTTAGCTTATTCTAAGCAGCAAGAAATAAGCAAACAGAAAGATTAAGAAAAAACAAATTATTTTCCTGGCAACATCTACCTGAATTCCAAATGAATAAACATCACAGTTTTACTTAATGATTTATAAATATAACTATAGGTCCATACACAAAAATCATGCACGGGTGTGTGTGTGTTTGTGTGTGTGTGTGTGTGTGTGTGTGTGTGTGAGTGTGTGTGTGTCCCTCAGCCCAGCCTACACCCTCTCCAATCTGGGATCCCTCTCACAATCCAGGACTTGTGGTTCCCAACTGCTCACCTGCCTGCCTTCCTCATTGCCCCTTACCACTTCTGCCTGCCAGCCTGATCACCCTCTAACCACTTCCCTGCCAGCCTGATCGATGCCTAATTGCTCCCCTGCCAGCCTGACTGCCCCTAACTGCCCTCCCCTGCCAGTCTGGTTGCCCCTAACTGCCCTCCCCTGCAGGCCTGGTTGCCCTTAACTTCCCTCCCCTACTGGCTCTGTCACCCCTAACTTCCCTCCTTTGCCAGCCTGGTCATTCCCAACTACCCTTCTATGCAGGCCTAGTCTCCCTCAACTGCCCTCCCCTGTAGGCCTGGTCACCCTCAACTGCCCTCCACTGCCAGCCTGGTCACCCCTAACTGCCCTCCTTTGCCAGCCCAGTCACCCCTGACTGCCCTCCCTTTCAGTCCTGGTCCCCTCCAACTTCCCTTCCCCTGCAGACCTAATCACCCCTAACTTCCCTTCCCTGCCAACCTGGTCACCCTTAACTGCCCTCCCCTACAGGCCTGGTTGCCCCAACTACCCTCCTCTGTTGGCATCATTGCCCACAACTGCCCTCTTTTGCCAGCCATCTTGTAGTGGCCATCTTGTGTCTTCATGGGGTGGCCATCTTTGACCACATGGGGACAGCCATCTTGTGTGTTGGAGTGATGGTCAATTTGCATATTAGCCTTTTATTAGATAGGATACAAATGTTTATTGAGTATCTACTATATATCCAAGTGGTTAACATGCATGAACTCTAATTGGTGGTCATACAAAGTCACATAAGGAATGCAGTTGAGCGTGACTACTTATCCAGGACATTGCTATTTTCTGTGCAAATGAGGTTAAGGCCTCACTCACTCCCCCACCTCCTACCAGCTTTCCATCCCTGAGTCTTTGCCATATAGAAATCCTGTAGCAAACTCAAGGCAGGTGTTATTAACTTCATTTTATAGGTGAGGAAACAAGTTAATTGAATAATTGCCAAAGCCTGACAGCTTATAAATGCAGAATATACAATCTGAATCCAAATCTTGTAGGGATTTTTTTTTCTTTATAGAGCTTCAATAATGGTTACTTTTGTTCTTTGTGACTATACTGATCACTCAGCCATATTAAAAAAGAAAATCCCTTCTCCATTTGGTTTCTTATCATATTTAGAGCTTTTTTTCTTTATTTGGATTTATGTCTGAGTGTTCTAAGACTGCCAGCAAACATTTTTGACTAAGTTGCTATATAGCCTGGCTGATGCAGAGGAGGGAATAGAGGGCAAGTAGAAAGCAAATGCCATCTTTATTATAAAAATCCTTCTTTAAAGGATTAGGCTTAGGTGTGTTTCAACACTCACTGGCTTTATAAAACCACTCAGGAATCACATCCAACTATAACCGAATTGGCATGGAGAGGCAGAGCCTTTTCCCTGGATGCTCTGCCAGGAAGCCTGCAGGATGG